TTTAATGTTATCTTTTAACAATTAAATCCATTACAACTCTTTTAAAATTGTTGGTAAATATGAGGATTCAAATCTCCCAAAAATAAAATAAAAAATCTAAAAATTTTAGTAAGTTTTTATAGTGAACGTAATAGAGAAGGTATTGTAAGAATTTATAATTTAATCCATAAATTCCCGTATACGCACACTAATGAATTGAATCCACGCTGGATTCCATTCAAGACCGATGGGAGAAGAAGAGGAATACAAAAGAAAAGAAAAGAATTAGAGAAGAATTAAAAAGAATTTTCGAAATGGGAGAATTTTAGGGGAGTGCATTTTGTAAAAGAGCAATGATGTATTACGACAATAGACTGTCGTAACATTCACAGTTTTTCACAATTTTTAATGAAGTCCATCACTCGTGGTGGATTCTACTACCTATTCCCACTCTGTATTACTTAAATTTTGACGCTTTCTGACCCCACATACGCTTTATATGACCTAGGTTACAAGAATATCGTATCAAGCAATTTGGAAGATGATTGAAGATTGTGTTCGCACTCGGCTTCTCTCAATCAAGATGAAGGACTCCACCAGCTCGAGAGGCATAGCTGCTGAATGGAGACTCCCTCGTTCGATCAATACAGCTGAGGTCACAGTTGGTCGATTGCCTCTTGTTCTTTCCTTCTCTCCGATTTGATTTTCTGATTTAGGGGAGGGAAGTTTTGTTTGTTCCTTTTGGGCCATGTTTGGGGATATTGGGTTTGGTTTGGGGATATTGGGTTTGGTCTCTTGTGTGGGCCTGTTGTTTTGTGCTTGCTGCCTTCGGGCTACTTTTTTTGGGCTTGTTGGTGAGCCCTGTACATCTCTCCTGTACGTGTCTCTCTCTTTTTTTTTTTTTTTTTTGTTATATACCGAAACCCAAAAAAAAAAAAAAAAAAAAAAAGTATCGTATCAAATATGATTTCCTTTTTATTACAAAATTACACGTATAGAGTTAAAAAAAAAAAATTTAATAACAATTAACAGTAAAGCAACTGCAAAAATTTAGGGGAACAGTAGCTCCAGCAAAATACCCAATCGAGTTCTCCCATTTACCATCATGAAAAAGACCTTGATCAATTCAATAATAATAACCAAAAGGAAGTTCATTTTGCAAGAATTTCAAATTCCAAATCTTCTTCCTACCAAACAAACATTCCTCCCTAGAACAATTTAGCATCGAAGTTTACTTTTCTAATTGTTTATCAATATTCGGCCGGCAATTCATATGAGGTTTGTATTTATGCTATTGTAGTTTATGCCACAGATTTGTTTGTGGTGATACCACGACTTTGTTACCTTCTCATTGCCGGCAACAATACACACAGTACACACATTATATCCCAAGATTTAACGGATTTTATAATGGCTATAATCAAATCCCAACAAGCTTAAAACCTAGCAGCAAATCTTAGTCAATTCCACAATCGACATAAATACAGAGTATATACAAGGTTAAGCTCAATATATAGTTGACATAAAAACTAGGTCTGTATAAGGTTTAGCTCAGTACATTGTGATAAAGTTTGGTCTTTTTTTCCCAACCATGTCAAGCGACGAGGGGTGGATTGCCGCCACTGAAATGGAACCCAAAAGCCACCGGCAGCCACTTGATCAAAGCGGCTTTGACTCAAGTTCCGGCATCTACCACTCACTCGACCAACTCGGTGAGCTTGACAAGATCCAAACCATCCCCAAACTTGACACGGCCACATTCGTGCTATCAAAATTCCCACCCCTGGACCAAGTCGAGTCACGAGTTGCACTCATGGACTCGGTTACTAACCATCGAGTCACCTACATGCAACTCCAACACTCTATTCGATCGCTTGCCACCGGCTTGTGTCACGGGCTCGGGGTTCGTAAAGGCGATGTTGTGTTCGTCTTGTCCCCGAACTCGCTCTTGTATCCATTTGTCTCGCTGTACTCTCCATAGGTGCCATCTTGACATCCCACAATTTGTCTCGCTCTATTCCCCGTAGGTGCCATCTTGACCACCACAAACCCTCTCAACACCGAGTCAGAAATAGCAAAACAAGTACGTGACTCAGGTACCAAACTCGCTATTGTAGTACCCGAAGAGGTACATAAGTTACTCTCTACGGGAGTGCCCACACTCCTTATTTCTCGTCCATCCGATGACAGTTCACTTTCCGTAGAAGAGCTGATTGATGGCTGTGAACCACTAGAACTCTCACAACCAAGGCCAACTCAGTCATATACTGCGCAATACTATACTCTTCAGGCACTACCGCAACTAGCAAAGGTGTAATATTAACCCATGCAAACTTGATATCCATCAAGACACTCCTCAAATGGGGTGTGGACGAAACATCGTCTCAAAACGACATATTCTTGTGCTTCATACCGATGTTTCACATCTATGGCCTCTCTTTCTTCATCCTAGGCTTGGTTTGTGCAGGTACTGCCACCGTGTTAATGCCAAAATTCGATTTCCAAGCCATGCTCGATGCGATTCAGACACACCGAGTTAGTAACATTCCAGCGGTTCCTCCAATCATTCTTGGGTTGGTGAAGTATACTGGCAAAGGTGGCCATGACTTGTCCTCCCTGCGAAAGGTGGTGGGTTGAGCTAAGGCAAGGCTATGGGTTGACTGAGAACTCTGGTGCAGCCACATTTTTCGTATCTGATGAAGCAGCTAAGACTCATTTGGGCTCGTGTGGAAGGTTGATTCCTAGTTTCTGTGCTAGGGTGGTGGATTTTGAAACCGGAGTGGTGTTGCCACCCTGCCAGAAAGGAGAGCTGTGGCTGAAAAGCCCAGCTGTGATGAAAGGGTACTTGGGAAATGAGGAGGCTACGGCTGCAATCATTGACACAAACGGATGGCTGAGAACTGGTGATCTTGGTTATTTCGATGAAGATGGGTTCCTCTACATTGTTGATCGGATCAAAGAGCTAATCAAGCATAATGGGTACCAGGTATGTAAGCAATTTTGTCAAAATATATTGCTGTGAGAAAACAGGCAACAATATATATAGAGAGAGAAAACGAGCGAGCTATTGAAATCGTGTGTATGCACCATCTAATGAAATGATATGAATGTGAATGCAGGTAGCTCCAGCAGAACTGGAAGCAATACTTCTAAGTCATCAACATATTCTTGATGCAGCAGTTATACCGTACGTCACCTTCAATCTCTTCCTATCTATCTATTCTCTCTCTCTCTCTCTCTCTCTCTAACACAGGAATAGGATTTATTTATTTATTTTTAATTTTTTGGGTGCAGAATTGAAGATGTGGAAGCAGGACAGATACCAATGGCATATGTTGTGAGAGCAGCTGGTTGTGAACTCACTGCAGATCAAGTCATTCAGTTTGTTGCCAGCCAGGTTAGTGTCAGGCTGTCAGCTCACATATATGTCTGTTATATTCTTCTAAAGTCTATATATATATATATATATATGCATGTTGTATTCTTCTTCTAAATTATATGAGGTCAATGTCAGGTGGCCCCATACAAGAAGGTAAGAAGAGTAGGCTTCATCGATGCCATCCCAAGGTCAGCTGCCGGCAAAATTTTGCGGAAGCAGCTAGTGTCTCTAAGCCAACAGAAAGTCCTCTCCAAGTTGTAACAGTTCATTCTCTTTTTGTATTGGATGAAGACTAGACATCAAGGAAGAAAATATTACTGCAGTTTGAAAGCTATTTGGCAGAAAATATAGGAAGGAGGACAAAAGTTTAGGAGTGCCATATATATTTTGAAATAAAGTTATATCAGAGCATGAATTTTTCAGTTTGTATTGCAAACTAAAAACTAAGCAACTGCACTCAAGAAAAATCTGAAACTTTTGTCCATTTTCCTATTGTTTTGCAGACTCCAAAAGTAAAGTTTGATTCTCTACTTCTGAATCTCTTGGAAGGAAGCTATTTCCTAAAAAAAATAAATGAATAAATAAATAAATAAAGTATTTAATTCATTTTATTATTTTTATTTTTAAATGTCTCAGTGGCATGGTATATACCTAGTCCTCTCATGCCATATACCTCGACGGTTCTAGGTTTTTTCAGAGCATTCTACAAATCCAATTTAGCTAAACCAAAACAAAGGCTACATACAAAATGGGGGACAGTGATGAGAAAGAAAGGTTATATCGTAATGAAACAAAATGAAAGAAACCATCAAAAAGGGCATACAGGATACATGATACAGAGGACAACTAGTTAATAGTAGAATTTCATCTCCACAACCTTATTTTCTGTTTAGATATCATGATCAACTGGATAGATCACCCAGGTTCGGGTCCATAAGCAGTGACAATTGCCCGTGTTCGTTCTCTCTATCGATAGGTTCCCTTAAGCAAGCCACTGCTTGCAAGTTGCCGGCTCATTCTTCAACAAGCATGCAATCAAAGCCATGCGGTCAAAGCCCTGGGCTCCTCCCACTACTTGGGAGCTTACTATTTTCATGTTCCATTACACTCCCTGAAGGGGATTCTTTTCACCTTCTCTCACGGTACTACTTCGTTATCGATCAACTGGGAGTACTTACCCTTGCAAGGCTAATTGAATTCACATGGGATTCCACATAGCCCATGCTACTCGGGTTACAGCATAAGCAAGTAATGCTTCCCGCTACTGAACTCTCACCATATAGGGTGGTGCACTCCACCACTTCACCTAGCAACATGACACTTGTAGTGTTGTCCCACAGTCCCGTTTCCATGGTTTAGGCTACTTCGCTGCAACAAGGATTGCTTTTGCTTTCTTTTCCTCTAGCTAAGATGTTCCAATTCGCTAGGTTGTCTCTTGCCTATCCATGGATATCATAGCAGTTCGAGAGTTTGACCTATTCAGGAATTTCTAAAATCTAGGTTTATTTTCAACTCCCCAAAGTGTTTCGCTTTCTATGCCCTTCCCTGTCCTAGGTATCCACGCCAAATTCTAAAATATTTGAAGAAAGACAGCAATGGCATACACGTGAGGAATCTTTGCCAAGCTTAGAGATATCAGGAGTACAAAAAATCAATTGTTATTATTAATCACCAAATGATCCAATAGAATCCGATTACAATGAGTGACAATAATAAAAAAAAACAAAAACAATTACATAACAACAAAAGAAAATTTAAGAATTAAAGTTATACCATGCAAATAACTGGGGTATTCCAAACAAAGTACAGAGAAACAACTGAAAGAAATTCAAGAATCTTGTTTAAATTTAGTCTTTTTTCTCATGGAATTCTCATAATAGTTCAGCAGACATTTAGGACTCACTCATGCATGCCAATCACAAACATAACAGCCAAGATTCTGATAGCCTCTCTAATAATTAATTACCATAAAGATAATTTATAAGTTTACCAAATAATATAATATTAATCTGATATCTATTTTATTTAACCACCAAATAATAGAAATAGAAGTAAATCACCTGTCCAAATCATGTAGGCGACATAATTAATAAATAATCTTACATTTCAAACCTAGTATTAGCATTGTCATTTGTTACGAGTGCGGTGGCCGAGGAAGTGGTGTCATCACTTTGATGATGCATGCCAAAACAGCAATGTTCTTCGAATGGTGGGGGTTTTTTGCGTCCAAAAAGATGTGGTGTTGGTGGCATTCAAACCTCGCTTGAAATGGTTAGAGCCAATACCAAGAAGATTAATAGGGACAAAGGGTTGTTTTAGTATGTGACCGTGAAAGAGCTTAAAATTATCAACAATATCGTGCACAAAATTTTAAAGGTGTGTAAGGGTTATATGGAATTGGAGCTTTGGAATTGAAATTAGAATTGGTGGGATTTGAGAAAATTTCGGTTCAATTTTTTTAATTATTTTTCTCAATTCCAATGTACATTCTGCATGAGCGAAAGATCAAAACCCTGGTGCTTTGGGACAACTATGGTCCCTGACAACTTTTTAGTTTTATTGAATAACCCTTTTAATTTTTGAGGTACTGACCTTCCAACTTTAACGGGTTGCATGTACCGCCTATCCAGCTATCCGCCTCCAGACACCACCAGAACTTCGTCTCTGGACAGCTGCGTCTGGCTCCATATCATGTTCCATGCAGATTTTTGTCTTCGAAGTACTTGAACCTCTTCCTCTATAGACTGCAAGGATTCCAGCATCCTCTGTAATTTGGTGATATGTGCCTGAAGACACCATTACCGATGTAAAACACAATCAGTTTCTTACAAACAAAAATTAAATTCATGAATTAGAAAAGAGTTTAAATTCATGAATTAAATTCATGAATTAGAAAGAGTTTAAGATAACAGAATGAGAAATTGAATCAGCATATATAGAAATTAGAATTCAGAAGACGAAGCTAATTACTTGGATGCAACGGAGCAAACCACTCTGGCAATTCGAGTTTGAGGGAGGCGTCGAAGAGAGAGACTAGTTCGGCGATTTGTGAAACGAGTAGATAAATAGTAGAGCTGTGGAGAGTGAAGACGAGTTTTGGTGTATGAAGGAGAGAACTCTGCCACCACCATGGTAGCAGAGAGCGAGAGAGAGAGAAGCTCTGTTCTAGAGAGAGAGAAAGAGCTGTGTTGTTGAGCAAATGAGGCGAGAGAACGAGAGAAGTCTGTGTTTTTGTAGAGAGAGAGAGAGGGGTTGGGTGTGTGGTTTGGAGGGAGAAGATACGAAGAGAGGGTAAAAGAAGAAATGAGATTGGTATTGTGATTTGAAATGCAGGTATAAGGCTATCCACATGACACTTGTCATTAATGCCTCGTCTCATCTCTAAAATGTACACTAAAAATTTACTACCCTCCCTTCTCCAAAATTCGGATTTGGATAGATTTCAGTAGAATTAAGTCTAATATACTGCATATCAGTCCCTGGTAAAAAAAAAAACCTTATACTATTAATTTGGTGCAAATAAGTTTGTGAAGGTATAAAATGATGATAATACAGTCACTTTAGTTGAATAAATTAATAAGTATAAATATAAGTCATGTAAAATGACCTTTTTATCCCAAACATCACCTAAACCTAATTTCCCTCAACTCAAACACAGCCTTATGCCCATATGTCACTGTTCATCTTCTTCCCTCAGTCTCCACTTCTATCACCCGCAACCACCCATCACCGCCACACCCTATAAGCCTATAGATATACAATTTTAAAGTGGTGAATAAAGTAAGCAAAGGGAGCAAAGAAAAAGAAAAAGAAGATAGAGGGTGTGCGCCAATTTGTATAGCAGCAAGGATCCCAACAAATTTGTATAATGTGTCAAGATACAAAGTCCAAGGAATTTGGGGGAAATTGTAGAGCAACTCGGTGACTGGTCCATCACTTGACCCGAACTCGCAGACACCTTCAATTGGCATTCGATCCACATCCAACATAGAATCACAACATCAATTTAACCCAGCAATTGTGAGAAATTGTTGCAGAGCCACCATGAGAGAGGGTGATTGGTTAGAGAGAGAAAATGTGTGTTTAAGAGGTAACGATAGTGAAGACAAAGAAGGACGGTAAGGAGTTGCTCGACGAAGATGAAGGATTTACCGGCGATGAAGGACAGCAGCTGAGCTCGGTTTGAATGGACTGAACAAAATGGCAGCCGTGGATGATCGCGATTCCGGTGAGCACAGATGATTGCACCCGCGGGCTTGAGGCAACGAGGAACTGGTGATGCAAGGATCAGCGGTGATAGTGCGGCAGAGAGTTTGTGTGTATCTTTTCGGCAGAGAGGTTGAAACTTTAGGGTTAATGTATCTTTTCGGCGATACAAGCACCAAATAAAAGAACGATAACCCACAAATCTTTTTCAGCAACGCCGACTATTACTAACTTCGACCCGCGACAGCTGGAAAGGATTGTCGCGATTTAGCCGGTGATGAAGTCATCAAAATTGGGTTTTCACTGGGGCAACTAGAATTTATGGCGACAGCTAAATAGGCTTTCGGAATCTCGATTAAAAATAGATCTGAAATAATGGTCCACAAATATTTCTTCGGCCACACCACCATCTTCTCCGGCGAGCCACAACCACCATCATTGCAGGCATAATGGTCCACAAATATCTCTAACCCAAATAGACTAATTGTTATAGTGAATTTTCATAATAAAACTTAATCAAACCATACAAGAAGATGAAAAATTATGTATCATGAATTGGAACAAAATTAAGAATTTGGGTCGGAGCCTTCCCAGCGTTCAAAACAATTATTCTACTCTCTCTCTCTCTCTCTTTCTCTTCGTATTCTCTCCCCTTTCCTGCAGCCGCAATGAATATAGTTTTTCATTGCCGACTGTGGTGCCGCTGGTATAGGTGTGGGGACGCTGTGTGATGGTGGTGATGGTGCTGCCGTTGTGGAACTTGTTAGGTAACTGAGTCAACTCAACAAATTTGGGTTTGTGATGTGGCTTTGATGACACACTGAGTCAACTCAACAAAATGGTAGAATAGGAAGAAAAAAGGGCAAATTAGGGTATTTAAATTTATTTTATGTCAATTTTGACCAAAAAGTGGTCAGATGGACTAGTTCTGCACCTTTTTTGCACAAAGTCTATATATCAAGGGGTTTTTTGCACTTAACCATATATATATATATATTTAAAGGTTAAAATTTTGATCATTAATAATAAATATATACTTTATTATTAATTAAATCATATTTTTTTCACTAGATCTCATAATAATAATTTAAAATTTTAAAGCTTTGCCCTTCCACTGTCACAATAAATTATGATGGGTCTCGTCTATGTCTATAGCTACTATGTCTTAATTTTCTAAAATTCCAATTGTAAAGTTAAACCTTTGTTTTTTTAACAAAATTATATGCATGACCAAGCATTAACATCACAATCAATTGTTAAAATGACAATTTCAAATAATGAAGTTTTACTTTGAGATTTTGTGTAAATATATGAATTTGACCATGCAGGTGGTGTTAATTTTAGTCATTTGAAAAACTTTTACATAAGTTCAATCATTTAAAGAACTAATGAAAATGTTTTCTATGGTAATTTCAATAAATATGTCATGATAGAGAATTTAGGATTTTGGACTCATGACAAATAAGGTAAATCTTAAATATATGTAATTATTCGTAAACATATTGATGAGCGCTGAAAAGTGCGTATTTAAACCCCTTAAGCTTAGGTATTCTAGAACATTTATCTATCTTATTTTACCGTTTTGTATTGATTTCGTGTTATTTCCATTTTCAGGTACTTATCCCCAAAACAAGCTAACTCAGCCAAATAAGAGCATAATTGAAGCAATTCTGGGATGAATCAAAGAAAGGAGCAAAGTAAAGCAAAAAGGAAGCAAAGGGTGGAATTTCAGCAACTTCGATCGATCTCAAGAAAAGTTCGATCGATCTAACTTTCATCGATATCAGCACTTCAAGATGGATCTGAGCCATGTTTGTTCCTATTCAAAAATCTCAAAGTTCGATCGATCTAACCTCATTCTCTGATCTATCGAACCATCTTGTCCTTATCCAAATGATTGATCTTATCCAGTTGTACTACCCTACCAACTACTTTTGTCCTTTTCTTAAAAATATTTTCAAAATATCTCAGATTTGTTTTTATCCAAAAAGGCGCCGCCATTGAGGATCGATCCAACTTAAATTTGATAGATTTCAGCCATGTTTGATCGATCGTACCTCAAGTTCGATCGATCGAACCTCCCAAATTCCGAGAAAAATCCAAATTTCAGCTCATTAAAAGTTATCTCATATCCAATCATTAGAGGATTATTGGTGTACGAGCCCAGCTCATTTGGGATGATTTTTGACCTACCTATATAAGGAATATGAGTCACTTTTTGAGGGAGCCTTTTGTTATACTTTGATACATATACTTAAGGAGGAAGAAAATGAGAGGAGGAGGCTAGAGACACCATTGGAGACTTTTCATCAACCAAGGAGCAGATTTCTTTCATGGAGCTTGCCCTTGAGGGTTGGAGGACATCATCCATGAGTGGCTAGACATCCTCTTGGGGCTAGAGTTAGCCCTAAACATGTTTTCTACTTATTGATTTATGTATTTTTGAGAGAATTTGTATTGTGATTCATGTCTTGACACTTATATATATATATATCTTGTTTATTCAATGATTTATGTGGTTTAATGCTTCCAATTGATCATTTCATTCTATCCATATGTCTATGTATGCTAGAATAGATATTCATGTGTTTGTCTCTATTTCTTGTGTTATTGATGCATGTCTATGTGTATTGATACTATAGATCTAGAGATTGTCAAGACATAGTGTTTAATATCATGTTCTTGTGGTTTATTTGATGATTCATACTCATTTCTTGATGGATTGTACCTCTCCCTTAGTTTAATTAGTTTAATTTCATGTCATTAGCTTAGTTGTAGTATAGTTGTTAAATGGGAGGACAATCCATGCTTGTTGTTGATGTTCCATACTTATGAAAGTAAGTAACATATTTCTCTAACCTTGTGATGTGTTTGGTTGTGAGCTTAAAGAAAAGATTAATGGCTTAATTTGATATGTTGTGTTATTCACCATATTGTTTAGACAATATATGCTTAATTTGTCATCAATGCTTATTGGAACAACCACACACACACACTTTGTTGCAATACATGTTCTTCCCCTCATTAATCATTCATTAAAGGTGTAGAAAAGCTATGCTTAGTGGTTGTAATACCCCTAATTTCAAAAGGGATAAAAATACCCCTAATTTCAAAAGGGATAAAAATGGAATTTAAATTTTATTTTTGTGCATTTTAAATTGATTTTGTATCTATATGCTTATGTGTCCAATTGTTTGTTTATTTTAATTCATTGTGTTATTTTTTTTTAATTGTTTGTTTATTTTTAATTAAGGGTGTAATTTCTTTATTTGTTGGTTTATTTTAATTAATTATTTTATTTATTTTATGTGTTTTAGGTGATTCGTTGCTTGCTTATTTGATTTAATTAATGGGTTTAAATTAATTATTTATTAAGTATTTAATTTTTGAACAGAGTAATTATGTAATTCCCATTAACTAGGGTTTTAGATACGTTTTAGTTAGGGTTTTTGGAGCCTCTCATAAGCATCTGATATGTATCTAAACTGGGTTACTTTGTGGGCCGACGAAGTTAGGGCTCTGTGGATTAGGGTTTTAATCTTGCAATTATAAATACCTCAGTATATGTTAAACCTAGGGTTACATATTGTCGTAACTTTTACACGGAAAAGTCTACCAAATAGAGAAAGTTACAGAGGGAGTTTTGGTGAGAACAGAGCAGTTTGTGAGAAGTTCGACTGGGGTTCCAAGGTTTAACCTAGGAGAAGGGAAGAACAGAAGTAATAGGAGGCTAAGCAGTATTTCAGTGTGGCCAGAACAGAGGAAAGCAGACCAACAATTACAGAGGCAAGTTCTATCTTCCTCTTTCCCTTTGAGCCGTGTTCTGTGCACCTAGATATGCTCTAGAGTTTTAAGGAAATTGAAAACTAAATCATTCATGTATGTTATACATCAAATTAATCATATGTATGCTTTGAATTATTTCTGTGATGATTTCTGCAATATCTGTTACAGTGCATGCAAGTTGGTTCAGTTTTACGTCCTTTAAGCATGAGGGTTCTTGTCGTAGTTGTTGTCTCTGTTTTTATTGCAACTACTGTAAACTAAGTATGGAAAGACTACGGGAGTTATGTAAATCTCGTAGGATGGGTGCTATTTCTGTTTTAGATCTCTGTTGCATTTTTGCTTCGTTGTAATCCATGCATGAGGTTTCAGTTTTTGCACAAGTTTACTTCTATTAATTGATTT